CCACTGACGATGAGCAAGTTGACCTTCACGGGACCGCTCCTGCACCAAGACTGAAGCAGTAGCTTTGAGAAGACCTGAGAGTTTCGATGTCGTCTGCCTACGATGCGTCAGTCTGTCCCGTAAGTGCAACCGGCTGTCGTCCTACGAGCACAAGCCTCGTGTCTTATGTACTAGGCAGATAGGACAATACCCTCTTAGCAGCCAACTAATGCTCAGGTCGTTGTCTCCCAGTCGCAACAAAGCGAGCAAGGATGCTGAGAGGATATGCGGGGTCTGGGCGAGTGCAGGTCATCAGGTACATGAGGCATCGCACCAGCTCTGGATACTGACCACTAGGCTCAAGAGGATTGTTAGGGTCAAGGGCTGAGAGCGTATGGCCAATAAGCAGAGGAGTTGGCTGTGCAGAGGAGAAACAGAGGCCAAAGCACTGGAGGATATGCTGCACCATGCGTAACTGAGTCAGAGTAACAATGTACGCTGCTCTATCCCTAGCAATTTGTAGGCCAAGATAGCGACGCAGATCACGTAGCTTTGTGCACTTGTTTCTCCTAAGCGATTTGGCCTTCACTAAGGCCAGTGCAGTTGTGTCACAATGACATCGACATAGACAAGGATGTTGAAAGAAGTAGAATTGGAGTGAACGAAGAGCGACAATTCAGTTGAGGACAGAAAGAAGCGAAGTTCCGCCATAATAGGGCGTATCCCTGGGTGGTGGTAGGGCCACTGTAGCAGGCAATGTTGATGGCATGCGGGAAACCCGGCTGCCATCAACATTTCCCCCGAGTTGCCTGCGGCTCGCAGTTCGTGGCAAGGAAAACAAAGAGTGCGACGATCGCACATGAATGTATGCAACCAATCACAGCACATTGCGACACCACACAAAAAGTCAAACCGGCTACTCCCCCAACTGAAAGCCGACCTCGCATTTGGGAATAGGTAAACTTGACGCTCAAAGGGGGCCTGTAAATTGACAAGCAGAAAGTTGGTTCATACATACGTGCCATTTGGCATAAGTGTAAACACACACCGCGCATGCACAAGCCGCTAGATGACCACTTTACAAGGTTGACGGCCGAGCCGCTAAGCACACGCCGCTGCCAATACACGTTTGCTGAAATATATGCGCCAGACCGTGATAAAGCACTGCCCAGCAGCGCTTCTTCGGCACCTGTTCCATCCGTCGCGACATGACCACTCTGGTGGTCCTACTGCTCTGCATTGATGTGCACATATTATATGGGTTCTACATAGAAAGCTTCAACCGTATTGTAGCCACTGCTGTTGTGCATTGGATTGCGATGCAGGAGACGATCTCCTCAAGCTCGTCATCGCTCACGTCTGTGTCGCCACCGCCATTTGAGCTATCTGCGTGTGCGCCACGCGCAGAGCTCGGGCCGGCACCGTCTCGCCTGGTATCTGCTTCACGCTTTATGTTACTACGCATTTTGCCGTTCTCGCACTGCTCCATCATCCACTTCACATATGGCGGATCCTCCCAAGGCTCGTCATCGTCGACCTTTGCCTTACCCTTACCCCGGTCTCTCTGCTTACGGGGAGGCATGTTGAACCTGCGGTGCTAAACTTGCTCTAGGATTCCCTCACTCGCGTGTGCGTGGGGTTCTGTGGTGGTCTACATCATGCCTAGAGTAGATCTAGATCTGGAGCAACTGGTGGTTGCTTTTTGCCACGCCGATGCAAAGAAGTTGGGTGAAGCTCATCGCAGGGGTCAGGCACAGCTTCATCCCGACCAATCGCTGGTTTGGTTGGATCGGGAATTTTACCGGCATGTGTGAAGTCAAACGTGGTGTGTGCGACTACAATTTGCGCGGGAACAATACATGTGCGATGTGGTGGGTGGACCGTGCGACCCAACACTCCCATGCGATATGTTACTTCGACCAATCACAGCACACTTGAACCGCGCCAATTTCATGACACCAACCCGCGATATACAGATTCGTGGCATCCGCATTTCCCGCCTGCTATCTACAGTGGCCCTTCCACCACCCAGGGATACGCCCCTAGTCTAGAGTGTGTTGTGCCACTGACGAGGCGCCTGGCGCAGACCGTAGACGGGCCATCGATGGATCCACTGGGTCCCAGTAGGAAAGTACCCAGTAAAGCCAAGTGGGCGGCGGATGAAGATCTGCTCGTGCAGGCTGCCCTGGATAAAGGCATTCGAGAACTCGATCGCGTGGGGGAGAAGGTATGAAAGAGGTCTAACCATTTTCGTTGACTAAAGCCCTTGGCCACATAGTGCACCTTCAAGGCAAGCATCTTACCAGGTGGCCTTTTCACCTTGAAGATCCACTTGCCATCTACTACGTTTTCCCTAGGAGGGGAACTGCGTCGATGTAGGTGAGTGTGGACCTCCAAGATGTCATCTCTGCGTCCATGACTGCTATCCTCTGAGAGGCCCAGGGTCCCAAAACATCCTCAGCGTATGTGTGAGGGGTCAAGATTTCAAGAGCGGCTCGGTCACCTTCAGGGGCTAGTAGCATGGCACAAAGATGAGGAGCAACGACCGCAAGTAAAGCCAACTCGTATTGTCTGTCCTCTAAGACGTCACGTCTAGAGGCAGGAGCACTCCCGACTGACGAAAGAGGGGCAGGAGCAGAGACCAACTGAGTGGCATAGTCAAGCCGACGATTGGAGGCAAATTCAGCAGCAGCAGCGACAAGAGCGGAGACGGGAGGAGGAACAGTGAGGTTGGAAACGAGGGAGAATATGATACGGGAGATCGGAGGGCGAATGGCACGGAAAGAGTAAGAGAACAAAGGAGAGGAGACAGCAAGGGAGGACGGATGAGGTAACGGGAGAACAGACGGTGGCAACGGACCTGGTGGATAGAGTCAGGAGATGGGTCGGGAGACAGAGGAGAAGACAACTGCGAATGAGGACGAAGACAAGCCAAGACCGGGGGAGGAAACGTGGGACCATAGACAGGGAGAGGCGATGAGGGAGGAACATGTGGTCGGTGAATCGAGGTGTAAGAAAGACCAAGAAGGCGAAGTGCAGACACCAGCGGCGACGGCGGCTGCTGCTGCTGTAGCAGCGGCTTCTACGGCTGCTACTGCACCGATCATTTCGTGCCCGCTGCACCCCTAGACCATGTACCTCATGCGCTAGCACCCGCAGAGCCAGCACCCCCAACGCCAGGACCCTAGAATCAGCACTTCCAGAGCTGGCACCCCTAGCACCCCAAGAAACAGCACCCCCAGAGTCCACAGCGACCAACCGCAGTGGAGACGAGGGCTGTGATTCATTGAAGGCTGCTGCGGCGATTGCGGGGACAACGCCGATGACGGCAGAGGCTGCTCTGGGGTTGGGGGATGGAGAGAGGGGGAGGGGGGGGGGGGGGGGGGGGGGGGGGGTGGTGGCGGTGAAGGGGCCGACACAGGAGGCTCACCCCTCTACCAAGCCTCGAGAGTCAGCAGTCTCCCCCTCATGCCCAATCGAGGGAAGAGGGGTGATGTGTGACACACCAGACGGGGCAAGATGCGAGGGCAGTGGAGCAAGTGGAGGTGTGGGACCAGGGGGGGGAGTGGGAGTGAGAAAGAGGGGAGGGGGGGAAACAGGGTACCTGTGTGAGGGGAGCGAGCGTAGAAGCTAACAGACACATCAAAGGTGACATTATGAGAGTGGTTGAAACGGCAAGACGAGGGGTGGTTGAGTGGGAAGCGTACAAATTTGAGGAAACCCTTCAGCCGCTGATTTTGACAATCGACGGTCGAGAACCGGCTTCCTCTTCAGATTCGAGAAGACAGAACGAATCTCCAGGAATTCCCATAAGCAAAAGTTGGTCGCCCTATCGTTAGTAGAAGTCGAGTTCATCGTCGCCACCGCCGCAGTTCGTAAAGGCCTCTATCTGCAGGAGCTCCTACAGGAGGCGAAAATTTGCGACGTCGCCGACCTTTCGTCTTAATTGCGACAACCAGAGGACGATAAAGGTTGCGAACAAACGTTGTTTCGTCAGCCGGATGAAGCACATCGCGCTACGATACTTCTTCGTCAAGGACGAGATTGACAAAGGGAAGGTTGACATGACGCACTGCCCCACCGGTGACATGGCAGCGGACTTCCTTATGAAGCGAGTGTCACGCAAGCAGTACCAGCACTGCGCCAACCTCAGCGGGGTAGTCAAGTGAGTCAGAACTTGCTACGCCAAGAAATGAAAGGAGGTGTTACAATAAGGAATAAACCTTGCTCATTCCTGAACGTAACAAAACTAAACAGTAACGAGTATGAAGGCAAAGCGACAGGACCAGTCGAAGAGTCATAAGAAGTTACCATCGAAGACCAATGCAGGCAAAATCATCGGGGAGGAAATTGGTGAGAACAGGTTTGAAACGGGTTCCCGCGCCATACGGTTGGGTTTCGCTGCAATAAAGGGTTGAGTTTCGCTGCAATAAGAGAACGCAACCCTTGGAGTATATGATGCGATATATGCTAAAAAAAGTTGTAAGTGAAGTATATTGAAAAAGAGACGTGAAGGTCACGATGAATGCTAGAATGGATCCAATTAGTGAAGTAACTAGTGAAGTACAATCAAAGTCCTATATTGGTGTGTATGCTTAGATTCTGTTGTAGAGCTTGTGCATAAGCTAACGTCCTTTAGTGTACAAATTATCTAGCCATAAGCGGAGTCGCCATAAGCTTCCCTTACATTCACTTTGGCCCAACCCTGGATCTCCTTTACAGATCAGTTCCGTACAACAGGAATATTTACGCGACGCACGCAAGCCAATCCTTGGCCCTTGCCGCGCCGCGATGCCATCGATCTCATTCCCGTAAGCACATGCGACGCGACTGAACCCGTTTCCGAGTCGCTATGCATTTTCTCAAGCCACATCTTACAGGACTGGGTGGTTGGTTCCTGAGAGGAAGTACAAATTCGTGAGTCTTTTCATTGCGACACAAGTCTCCAGCACTTTTCGGAAACATCCCTCTCAGTTCCTCGCCAAGTGATCAGGTTCTTCCCAACATCTACCTGCTTTGCAATGGCTTCCTCACCGCGTCCCAAGACGGAGGGCCTGCTCGCCCTCTGCCTGCTCTCCCTGCTTGCTGCGTCAATAGCTGCGCCTCTCGCCGGTCCCAAGTGCAAGAACCGGTTCCCCAAGTACCCGCTCTGCAAGTTCGTCAACGACATGGCCACTTCGTTCACGCCCACCGTCGTCGACGCTGCCAGCGGGAAGACGCTTCAGATTAGCGCCTACCAGATCTACCACGTGAGTAATACCAAGGCAGAGCCATGCTTTTCCGTGAAGCACCTTGTTACCGTGACAAAACCTCGTGCTCCTGAGTTTTGACGAGCGTTTTTCCCCTCAATTCTTGATTGCCCCGGCTTGAATGCGCAGAAATTTCACCGCGACCTGCCGGCGACGAAGCAGTACGCGTACGGAATGGACGCGAAGACGGCGTCGTATCCGGGGCCCATCCTGATCGCGAAGAAGGGCGTGCGCACCAAGGTGTACTGGCAGAACAAGCTGCTGGACCGCCAGCACATGTTCACCAACGACTTCACGCTCATGCCTGGCATGGCCAAGCCCAAGATGGGCGGCATTCCCATCGGTGCGTCGCCACAGAAATTGCCTTCCTTTCCACGGCTGCCAATATTGCTCCCATTGTCGCTTCTCCCCATTTCCGTCCGCGCGGAGCTACTAGCCGTTGCTCATCATTCCGACTCACGCATTGTCTTGCCATTGTGCGTCGGCATTTCCCCTCCGCAGTGGTGCACAGGCACGGAGGCGAGCAGATGAGCGATTTCGACGGGCACCCCGACGCGTGGTTCACGCAGTTCGGCGAGGTCGGCCCCACCTTCAAGTCGCGCCTGTACCGCTACGGCAACCAGCAGAGCGCGTCGCTCATCTGGTTCCACGACCACGCGCTCGGGTGGACGCGGCTCAACACGGTGGCGGGGCTGGCCGGCGCGTACATCATCGTGGATCCCAAGGGCGAGGAGAAGAACCTCCAGTTCCTCCCGCAGCCCGGCAGCGGGCGCTACGTGCCTCTCGTTCTCGCCGACCGCTCGTTTTTCGCCAACGGGTCGATCGACTACCCGAACGTGGGGATCGTGCCGAAGGTGCACCCGAACTGGGTTCCCGAGTACTTTGGTAACCACATTCTCGTGAACGGCGTCGTGTGGCCGTACCTCAAGGTCCGGCGAGCGCTGTACCGCTTCCGCGTGCTGGGCGGGTCGAACGCGCGCTTTTACAACCTCAGGTTCACGTGCGCAGGACGCGGAGACTACCCCAACTTCACGCCCCCGCTGAAGGGCCCCAGCCTCGAGATTATCCAGGTAAACCGCTGCTCGTATGGAGCGCTGTCCACTAATGCAGCTCATAGGGATTTCCTCTGCTAGTACTTGCCGGTACATAACCAACTTCCCATGTGCTTTTGTTTTCCCGTCTCAACCATTTTATATTTCTTCTGTTGCCACGGTTCAGATCGGTTCGGATGGCGGGTACCTGGCGGCGCCGGTGCGCATGTCGTCGCTGCTGGTGATGCCGGGCGAGCGGATGGACATTCTGGTGGACTTCAACGGCGCGCCCGGGCACTGCAAGGACGTCATTCTCACCAACGACGCACGCGCCCCGTACCCCGCCGGCGAGCCCGCCGACGCCAACACGGGCGTCGTCATGCGCTTCGTGCTGAAGAAGACCAAGATCCCCTCCCCGCCCATCCCTAGCTCCCTCGTCGTACGTCTCGAATCCCCTCCCCGCCTGTCACTACCATCCTCGTCGTACGTCTTTGCTCTTTGAAACAGACTCTCGCCTCTAACTATTTTCTTGTTTCTTGCTCCTTGCTGGTTTTCTCGTCCCTTGGTTCATTCGTTTTTTTAACCCTTCCCCACACCCCGCCGAGACGGAGCAGAGCATTCCTCGGGTGGATGTTGCTAGCGCGGTGCGGTCGCGGTTCAACACGTTGGTAGAGATCATGGACCCCGCGACGCAGCTGCCCATCCGCGTGACCATCGACGGCAAGATGCACCACGACCCCGCCACCGAGATCGCCAAGGAGGGCACGGCGGAGCTGTGGAACATCATCAACCTCAGCGCGGACGCGCACGCCATGCACCTGCACCTCATCCAGCACCGCCCCATCTCGCGCCGCCCCTTCGACATCGCCAAGTTCCAGGCAGGCAAGTGCTCGTTCAAGGACAAGAGCAAGGCCAGCTGCTACACTGGCCCCGCTGTTGAGGTGAACGCGAATGAGCGCGGGTGGAAGGACACGACCCTGTCGCAGCCTGGCCAGGTGCTCACGATTTACACTCCGTTCTACCAGCAGTCGGGGGTGAAGACCTTCGAGTTTGACGCGAGCCGCGGGCCGGGCTATGTGTGGCATTGCCACATGCTGGAGCACGAGGAGAACGACATGATGCGGCCGCTCCTCATCACCAAGTGAGGTATGAGACGAGGTAGGGTGTAGGTTTAATATAACCTGGTTTGTATGAATTGCTAGGTTGAATCGTGCATCTTTAGTTGCTTTCAGGTAGATCCTCCTTATAGTAGGTTTTGCTTTCAGGTAGATTCTCTTGTGAATTCCCCCTGGAAATTACCTTTGCAATAAATCATCATGAGCCGTATTTCCATACTGCATCATCCCATGTTAATGGAGATTTTGAAGCTTAGTGTTTGGCACGAATGTTGAGTAAACTTGGCTAATTTGTTCCACGATGTCTGAAATTCTCAGCCACTGTCTGAAATTCACAGGCACAAAGCAGCCACTGTGCCATGATGTGTCATCATACCTTGTCTCGGTTGAATGATGAATACCTTGAATGAAGATGTATTTCGTCTCAGTTGGTCTTTAGCGCCAAGATATGTATGACCAGTCATTAGGCTGCTAATTGATCTGCATTTCACAGGTTGGGCAATCTAATAATTTCTTCATGATTAGATGAAAACACAATTCCACAAGAGTTTAGCACATGCTACAGTACTAACTCTACAGAACTAGGCTTCAACTGCAGCATCTACCGGTCCTAGAGTGTAGCCTAACCACGTACAGATTTCCTGCAACAAATCGCCACAGGATCAAGTCCCCGTTCCCAAACCTGCAACACTAACTCTACCAGTCACATCACATCCCTCACCAGAGGCACACTCCATGGTTGCCTCTCCACACCGCACCTAGTAAACATATCGCCTTTTGCATTCAGAAGGCTCGATCTGAGCCCCTGTATCTCATCCCCACGCTAGCTTCATCAGGCACACTTCTCTTCCACAGAAGCAGGTCATCTCAGCTCCTCGAATCCCTGATGGTTTCTAAAACGCCGCCAACACCCAATCAACCACCCCTTCTTCCCTCGAAGCCCACCACTGGGCCCTACCGTCGCTGCCAGTGCTCCAGGTACAACTCCCACATGCACGTCTTCTGCCCGGGGAAACAATAATCCTTCCTCGGATCCGTCACTGTGAAATTCCAATACGTCGGCACCAACCAATCAACCACCCACCTTCCTTGCAGCCCCACCAATTGCCCCTACCGTCGTTTCCAGTGCTCCAGGTACAGCTCCCACGCACACGTCTTCTGCCCGGGGAAACAATAATCCTTCCTCGGATCCGTCACTGTGAAATTCCAAAATCCCGGCGGCGCGTTCTTCGCCTCGAGGCCTCTCTTCCTATACTCCATCTCCGTCTTGTCCTCATTCCTCAGCCAGCACATCTGCTGCAGACTCTCCGGCATGGTATCATGCATGGTCCACCACCTCTTATGAGCTGCTTCGTTTGCGAAGTTGTGGTCCCACGGGTACAGCCACGTGCAGTCAAAGTCGCGGTAGCACTGCCAGGGCTTGCGGCCGAGGTAGTGGATGGTGTGGATCTCCGCTGGCTCCTCCGAGAACCACCGGTTCTTCATTTCCAGCTCGAGCGCTCGGTCGTGGGGATCGGACGCCCAGATGTGCTTCAGGGTGTTGTATGAGTTGGGCAGGCGGTGCCACCACGTGAAAATGTTGTTTAGATAGCCCTGAGAGGGGTTGAGAAGGGTGGGGATGGATCAGGGGAGAAATGGCGAGAGTGGCGTAAGCGAGATGGCCACAAAGAACCATTCCCAACCATCCCCAACCGTCCTTCCCTATTCCCACCCATTCCCAGCCATCCCGAACCCAACCATCTCCAACTCCCCTTCCATCCCCAACCGTCCCAAAACCACTCCACAGCCATCCATAATCATTTCCAAGCATGCATGTTCGCACCTGGTCACCCCCGTTGGGCGAGCGGATGGTGTGGACGTTGGCGAGGAGCTCGCGGAAGGTGCAGTGGGAGGGGCGCAGCAGCATGAGGCCCGAGTTGAAGTCCGTCTGGTCGTTGCCTCGCGCCGCCACGTCGGGGAAGGCGAAGAGATGGTCGAGATTGCGCAGCACCAGCAGATCCGCGTCCACGAACACCACCCTTGAGTACTCCGTCAGCTGCCACAGCCGCAGCTTGCTGGTGTCATGAGGGGGTTGAAGAGGAGCAAGAGATGTTGGTACTCATATCAGCTGCTACCATCTGCCGGAATTTGCTGCGACAAGGGTTGTTGAATGGGGAACATAACTAGGGGGATCGCGAGACTATTACCATGAGTTGTGAAGGAGGAATGACTTTGTTTTCCGTTCAGGTATTTTAAGCAACACTATTGATTCACTGTACCTGTAGTTCCACTGGTTGTACGACGTCTTGCTGCCGTAAGGGTTTCGGATCCGGTCGATCTCCTTGACGATCCACCCCGCCTCGCGAAGTGCGTCGCGGCTGCGGTTGCTGATTTCGTGCGACACCAGCGCCACCATGTCGTGCCGGCTGCCGCTGCGCCGAATGCTGTGCCCCAGCACGATCGCGCCGCACACGTAATTCTCCACCGTGTGCAGCACCGTCGCGTACGCCACTGTGCCTATGGCGGGCGGCTCTGGCGGAACGGAGCAGGGGGGATTGTGGGAAAGGGGATGCGGGGGAGGAAGAGACGCAACAAGGCGAGAAGAAGGTGAGAAGATGTTGAAGGGAGAGTGAGAAATATACGGTTCTACAGCTCTATTGCATTATAGAGAAGTACAATGTTGTGCAACTAAACCGCGTGCGCCGTTGTCGCGTATGGTGCTGTACTAGCGGCAAGCGATTTCGGTAGCGATAAGGAAATCGACAAGCGCACGGCGCAGAGCGGGATGTACTACAGTTTGCAGTAATGTCACCCAGCAGATCGTCCGTATCCGATCTATAACACAGCTGAAGTTTTAGCGGTATATTTAACTCAGTACTCAACTAGCCGAGCGTTTCACTCACCCTCGGCTGTCAATGTCGGTTGCGCCATGGCGCATGACCCAGCCGGTTGCAGCCGGGTTCGAAGATCGCTGGCCGTCAGGTTGTACAGCCAGACCGGCCCGTCCCGTTTAACCAGCCGGTCGCACGGCAGCAGGTTCAACGGCGGTCGGCAGTCGGAGATGAGGACGAGCGGCATCCACGGCTTATCGGCCTGAAATCAAACGCAGAGAGGGGGTTGGTGGTACGAAATGGGAAACACGATTGAGTGAGGTGCGGGTGGGTGCGGAATAAAGTCGGGGCAGGGGGGGGGGAAGGCAAGGGAAGTTTTGTGTGGCGTGCAGGGGAGGCGGGGGAGAGGCGAGAGGCGGGAGGCGAGAGGCGAGACACGCGCGTTGGCAATGTTGCGCAATAAGTGATCTGGAGGCATGGAGATACGCATACAATCCGGGACTTGCACGAACTGCCACTTGCCTGAACGACGAGATTCGCCAGCGAAAGTAGCATGTGCTGCCACTCCACGTCTTTCGCCCATCCGGATACCGGCTCGCGACATTCCACGCGAGCCAATAGCGCGTCCGCCTGCTTTCGCCCGCTCTGCCAGCGCGCCTCGGGCAGATACGGGCAGCTGTTTGGTAACGTTTCGTTAATCCACTCTGGATATAAGTGATTCCAGTCTAGATGGCCCGGCGCGTGCGGAACCGCCAAGGAGATTAGCCGGCGCGTCGCATTGAAACGCGCGATTTCCGCGTCCTCCATGTTGACCACTGCCACATTGGCGAAGCGCACTCCGGATTCCCTCTCCCACGTGGAGAGCACGCGCAAGCCACGCGCGTACACGCTTTCGCGCGAGAGAACAAATAGGAACTCGATTCCCACGGTCGCGGATTGTAAGAGTAACATGTGGTTCTTTCGCAGCATGTCGGCGAGGAGAAGCAGCGAGAGGAAGGAGAGGAGAACGACCCAAATCTCCCGGGAGCTTGCGAGCCGCTTCTTTCCACAGAGAGAACCGGCAGTACTGAAGGCACTAGCTTTAGTGAAGGACGACGAAAAGGAAAATGCAGCGCCATTCGTCAGGGAACTACGGGCTTCAACGGGAGACGGACAGCCTTGAAACCCGGTGAGCTTCGTAGCGAGCGCCAATGAGCGGTTGGCGTGCTCGAGCCACGTGTCGCGCAGCCATGCGACGGAGGAGGCACCGGGACTGTTGCCGAGCGGGACGGCGTGTGCGGCGGGAGCGGAGATCGAGCACTTGGGGCTGTGTGAGGGTGATTTCGCCAGCGTGGCTTGCCGGGAACTGGCTGATCTTTTAACCGGGCTGGTTGTTTGCAGCTTGTCGGGGATGCTTATAGCGGCGTCAGAAGGAGGTTCAGAGGAAGGCAGGAGAGGATGCGAGGAGGCGGCCTGGGTGGGTGAAGTCGACATGGCTGATTGGCTCCTATTGAAAGAGACAAAAATAGTGGTTATACCTATGGAGACTGTGTTGCGAAAACTAGAGGTTGTGAGCACGGTTTTTCTTGAGGGTCGCTTTTAGGCTGGCGGTGACAACGAAGTGATGAGATTATGCCAGGGGCGGATCGCATTTCCGTAGTGCATGTCAGTGTCACCTAAGTGAGAAGACTTGGTCGCTTGACAGGACAATTGACGGACAGAACTGCATGTCAGTGGCTTTTAGAATTTGTTACTGTGGACATCAAAGGACTCTTTCGTATCACCTAGGGGTTGGTGAGAGTTGGCTTGGGGAGAACCTAGGTCGCGTTGCGACGCTACCAAGTTTGATTTGGCGCTTCGCTTGGTGATCTCGGTGTTGCTGATAGATGGCTGATCATAGCAGGCAAATGAGAGGGGACGAAGGATGAATCAAGGGGGGCAAGCAGGCCGCAGGGCAGGACGAAAGGGGGGGGGGGGGGGGGTGGGGTGTGCCGCTGATGGCACCCGTGTGCTGTTCAATACGATACGAGGCGCCGAATTGTGAAGCTGGTTCATGATTCCTGAAGCTGATTGGCCGAACGAGGGGCAAGCTTGGGGAGTGTCGAGGGGCGCTCAAGCGTCCGTCGAATCGAACCATGGACAGATTGACTATCAGTCGAACCGCCCAGATTGCTGCGTCACTGTCGCGGTGTCGCATGATGTGCACGTCGCCCCTCCCAGGAAGGTCGAGTTTTAGCGAAC